ATAGTCTTTTGCATAAAAAATTAATAAAAATGCAAGACTATAGTCTTTGCATAAAAAGTGTAAAATCAAAGACTATAGTCTTTGCATAAAAGTGTAAAATGCAAAGAGACTATTGTCTTTTGCGTAAAAAAAGTGTATTTCTGTCAAAACTATAGTCTTTTGCATAAAAAAGTGTAAAAATGAAAAGACTATAGTCTTTTAAAATAAATTAATAAAAAGTAAAGACTATAGTCTTTTGCGTAAAAAGAATAAAAATGCAAAGGCTATAGTCTTTTAAATAAAAGTGTAAACAATTCAAGACTATAGTCTTTTGCGTAAAGAAATGTAAAATCACAAGAGACTAAGTCTTTGCGTAAAAGAAGTGTAACAAAGGCAAGACTATAGTCTTTCATAAAAGTGTAAAAATGCAAAGACTATAGGCTTTTGCGTAAAAATGTGTAAAAATGCAAATACTATAGTCTTTGCGTAAAAGATAATGAAACAAGACTATAGTCTTTCATAAAAAGTGTAAAATCACAAAGACTATAGTCTTTTGCATAAAGATAATAAAATGCAAGACTATAGTCTTTGCATAAAAAACATAAAATGCAAAGACTATTGTCTTTTGCGTAAAGTCTTAATGAAAGTTAGTCTTTTAGATTTTGTAAATTAATTAAAAGCTATGGTTGAGATAAAAAAGACTATATCATAGTCTGCGTAAAAAGTGTAAAAATGCAAAGACTATAATCTTTTGTGTAAAAAAGTGTAAAAATACAAAGACTATAGTCTTTTGTGTAAAAGTGTGTAAAAACGCAAAGACTATAGTCTTTTGCGTAAAATTAATAAAATCACAAAGACTAGTCTTTGCGTAAATGTAAAAATCAAAGACTATAGTCTTTTACGTAATAAAAATCACAAGACTATAGTCTTTCACGCAAAAAATTGTAAAAAGGCAAAGACTATAGTCTTTTGCTTAAAAAAGTGTAAAAATGCAAAGACTATAGTCATTTGCGTAAAAAGAATAATAAAATGCAAGACTATAGTCTTTTGCGTAAAAAGTGTAAAATTCAGACTATCTTTTTGCGTAAAAAAGTGTAAAAATTCAAGACTATAGTCTTTTGCAAAAAGTGTAAAATGCAAAGACTATAGTCTTTTGCAGTAAAGTGTAAAAAATCTAAAGACTATACTCTTTTGCGTAAAAAAGTGTAAAAGACAAAGACTATAGTCTTTTGCGTAAAAAATTGTAAAAAGTAAAAGACTATAGTCTTTTGCGTAAAAAAGTGTAAAAATGCAAAGATCTATAGTCTTTTGCATAAAGAAGTGTAAACATTCAAAGACTATAGTCTTTTGCGTAAAGAAATGTAAAAATGCAAAGACTATAGTCTTTTGCGTAAAAAAGTGTAACAAGGCAAAGACTATAGTCTTTCGCATAAAAAAGTGTAAACATTCAAAGACTATAGTCTTTTGCGAAAAGAAATGTAAAAATGCAAAGACTATAGTCTTTTTAACGTAAAGATGTAAAAAGAACAAGACTATAGTCTTTCATATAAAAAAGTGTAAAACAATTCAAAGAGACTATAGATCTTTAAGTAAAAATGTAAAAATCTCAAAGACTATAGTCTTTTGCTTAAAAAGTGTAATGAATAAGATATAGTCTTTCATAAAAAGTGTAAAAATCACAAAGACTATAGTCTTTTACATAAAAAGATCAATAAAATCTAAAGACTATAGTCTTTTGCGTAAAAAAGTGTGTCAAAGATTATAGTCTTTAAATAAAAAGTCAAAATCTTCAAGACTATAGATCTTTTGCATAAAGAGATAAAAATAAAGAGACTATAGTCTTTAAGTAAAAAGAATAAAATCACAAGACTGATCTTTTATATAAAAGATAAAAATCTAAAGACTATAGTCTTTTGCGTAAAAAGAATGTAACAATGCAAAGACTATAGTCTTTGCGTAAAAAGAGATAAAATCACAAGACTATAGTCTTTTGCATAAAAAAGTGTAAAAATGCAAAGACTATAGTCTGTCGCATAAAAAAGTGTAAAATACAAAGACTATAGTTTCTTGCGTAAAAAAGTGTAAAAATGCAAAGGCTATAATCTTTTGCGTAAAATGTGTAAAAATGCAAAGACTATAGTCTTTTGCGTAAAAGTGTGTAAAAATGCAACGAGTATAGTCTTTTGGGTAAAAAAGTGTAAAAATGCAAAGACTATAGGTCTTTTGCGTAAAAAAGTGTAAAAATGCGAAGACCTATAGTGTAAAAATGCAAAGAGCTAGTCTTTTGCGTAAACTTTTGCGTAGTCTTTTGCAGTCATATGTAACTTTTTGGTAGTTATACAATGTAGTATATGGTGAAAATTGATGTTTTATATACATGGGTAATAGCCGCCCAACGTACGTACGCTGGATAATAAAGGTGTTGAAGAAAGCTTTTTGTTGAATAAATACTTTTTGAACAGTCATATGTAACTTTTTGGTAGTTATACAATGTAGTATATGGTGAAAATTGATGTTTTATATACATGGGTAATAGCCGCCAAACGTACGTACGCTGGATAATAAAGGTGTTGAAAAAAGCTTTTTGTTGAATAAATACTTTTTGAACAGTCATATGTAACTTTTTCGTAGTTATACAGTGTAGTATATGGTGAAAATTGATGTTTTATATACATGGGTAATAGCCGCCCAACGTACGTACGCTGGATAATACAGGTGTTGAAAAAAGCTTTTTGTTGAATAAATACTTTTTGAACAGTCATATGTAACTTTTCGTTAGTTATACAATGTAGTATATGGTGAAAATTGATGTTTTATATACATGGGTAATAGCCGCCCAACGTACGTACGCTGGATAATAAAGGTGTTGAAAAAAGCTTTTTGTTGAATAAATACTATTTGAACAGTCATATGTAACTTTTTGGTAGTTATACAATGTAGTATATGGTGAAAATTGATGTTTTATATACATGGGTAATAGCCGCCCAACGTGTACGTACGCTGGATAATAAAGGTTTTGAAAAAAGCTTTTTGTTGAATAAATACTTTTTGAACAGTCATATGTAAATTCTTAGGCTCAAGACATGTGCTGAGGATATGTGGGAAAGAGCTCCAGGGTAGACCACAACAAAGGCATGCTTCATGTTACGACCTCTTGAGGGAAAATGTTATATTATACCATTTAATGAACGAGGTGGCGGATGTGGTGCAGCTATGAGATCCATGTGTATAGGTTTGATGTTTCCTTGTGAAGATCAAATTGAAATGTTAATTGAAATTGCTGTTGAAAGTGGAAGGATGACTCATAATCACCCCACAGGTATTCAACTTTCATAAAAAAGCAACAATTTCAGATCATGTATCAATTATCAAGTCACTAAAGTCTAGTGTTCTGTCAATCGACAAGTGTTTCTTTGTATACAGTTTGCTAGGTTTTCCTGTTATCTGCATTTTTTTTCATTTTGACAAACCTTTATAGTAATTTAGCTTTTCAATCCTTTTGCTTTTCTTAGATGTTTTATCTTCAACTCTTCCTTCGATTACTTACTTGAAAAAGCCATTACCATGAATGTTTCATATCCTTTTATCTAATATCAATTTATAAATAAAACAAAAGATGGTTGACCTTAGGTTTGCATAAGTCTATGCAATCCATCATTTTCCAGAACCACATCTCAAATGCCTCCATCCTTCTAACATTGCTCAATTTTAGTGACCATATCTTTGATCCATGCTTTTTATCGCTTTTCCACATTTCCAAATTTCTGTCTCCTAAAAGCTGTTTGAATTGCCAATGCTGTCTTGCTTTTATATCTTCACTACTACAGCCATTGAATCCATGATCCATATCAAAATGCCGCTATTATGTAAATAGGGTCATCATAATGTAAGTGACATGAAATTAGCAATCTTTAAAGATAGTGATTTTTATTATAGGTTATCTTGGGGCTGTTACTGCAGCTTTATTTACAGCCCATGCTATACAGAAGATACCTCCAAAAAAATGAGGAGCAGAACTTTTAAGTGTTTTACCCAAACTTTGGGAATACATTGAGAAGGTTGGTCGTGATATAGAAGAAAACAAGAAATCTTGGGGCTACTTTAAAGACAGTTGGGAGTCATATATTGAACTACAGGAATTAACCAATGGAACCAGTGAACCAAAGTTTCCAGTGACATATAACATACCTGAACATGATGCTTTTTATAAATCTGTGAGTTATGCAGGCTGGGGTGGATCCAGTGGTCAAGATGCACCAATGATTAAGATGCTTTGATTATGGCAAAAGATTCCTGGTTTCAATTGTGTTCTTGTTCTATGTTTCATGGTGGAGATAGTGACAATACAGGACTATTGGCTGCAGCATGGTGGGGTGGTATGTATGTATGAAAGGTGTACACCTTGGAAATTATAGGAACTGGAATATGGTCCAAGGCTTACGAAGCTGGTTAAAAAATTACTGAATGTATCAAAGAATATGAAAAACTAACAGGATAGTATTTATTTAACAAAATTTATATCATAAAATTCTGTCATCCCAATATACTTTAGTATGTTTGTGAATCATACAATAAAAATTACTCCTTCGTTATAACATAAAAAAAATTTACTTCTAAAATAAAGTCTAAAGGAAAATGTCAGATTCAGGGCATGTGCAGTTCTAAGTTTTACTTAGTATGATTCCTGGCCTGTAGAGTAAGTTTATTGACTAGATATCAGTGAAACTATACATAGACAAGGACCATTACATCTTTAGCCTCTCTTTACCTCACAAAATACAAACTGCAAACGTTTTGTTCAATACCAAAAATACATTCTCAGGGAGAGGGGAGTTGACTTGGCAGGTAGAAGCCTTGCTCCGATGGTTTATGTGTTAAAAATAGGCTTGACTAATTTGGAAGGTACAATTTTCTTTGAAACACGTAGCTACCAATGTGTAACTGTACAGCTTTGTCATATTCCTAAGTTTCATAATACATTACACCTAAATTGTTTAACAGACTTAGCGACATCAACCTGACTAGTTCCTAACGTTTTTTTTTGCAAATTTTCTAGCTTTTTCGTGGAACTCTATAGCTTTGTCGTAGTTTCCAGTTCTTTTAAGCACATTACCAACATTGTTTAAAGACCTGGTGACATCAACATGATTTGGACCTAACGATTGTTTTTGAATTTCCAGAGCTTTTTCATGAAACTCTAAAGCTTTGTCGTAGTTTCCAGTATCATTATACACATTACCAAGATTGTTTAAAGACCTGGCGACATCAACATGATTTGGACCTAACGATTGTTTTTTAATTTCCAGAGCTTTTTCATGAAACTCTATAGCTTTGTTGTAGTTTCCAGTTTTTTTAAACACCATACCTAGATTGTTTAAAGACGCAGCGACATCAACATGATTTGGACCTAACGATGGTTTTTGAATTTCCAGAGCTTTTTCGTAAAACTCTATAGCTTTGTCGTAGTTTCCAGTTTCATAAAACACAACACCAAGACTGTTTAATAACGCAGCGACATCAACATGATTTGGACCTAACGATTTTTTTAATTTCCAGAGCTTTGTCGTAAAACTCCATGGCTTTGTCGTAGTTTCCAGTATTAGAATACACATTACCAAGATTGTTTAAATAACCAGCAACAGTAACATGATTTGGACCTAACGATTGTTTTTGAAATTCCAGAGCTTTTCGTAAAACTCTATAGCTTTGTCGTAGTTTCCAGTATCATAATACACATTACCAAGATTGTTTAAAGACGTAGCGACATCAACATGATTTGGACCTAACGATTGTTTTTTAATTTCCAGAGCTTTTTCATGAAACTCTACAGCTTTGTCGTAGTTTCCAGTTACACGATACACATTACCAAGATTGTTTAAAGACCTAGCGACATCAACATGATTTGGACCTAACGATTGTTTTTTAATTTCCAGAGCTTTTTCGTAAGACTCTATAGCTTTGTCGTAGTTTCCAGTTTTATAATACACAGTACCAAGATTGTTTAAAGACGCAGCGACATCAACATGATTTGGACCTAACGATTGTTTTCGAATTTCCAGTGCTTTTTCGTAAAACACTATAGCTTTGTCGTAGTTTCCAGTAACATTATACACATTACCAAGATTGTTTAAAGACGCGGCGACATCAACATAATTTGGACTTAACGATTGTTTTCGAATTTCCAGAGCCTTTTCATGATGATTTTTAGCTTTGCTATATTTCCCAGTTTCATAGTATAAAACACCGAGGATATTAAAATACCAAGCTTTGTCATAACTAGATTATTCTGATTTAAATTTATCCAATAGTTCAAGTGCAAGATCGTATTTTCCAAAATGTTCTAATCTCTCAACAAAATATTGGAAAACTTGTAAAGTATTCATTTTGATTTTTGTCTTGTTGGTCTTTAATAATTGAACAATTTTTTCAAGATGTGGCATCAATTTGCTTTCGTCGTCTTTCTTTTTAAACATGTAAAGTGCTTTTGATATTTCATCAACGCTACTTTCAATTTCATGTTTCTCATTCAACTGTTCAGATTGATAAACAGTAATTGCTTTGTGAACAATGCGATGTAGACTAATGTCATTATTTTCTGAATGCAAGAACAATGAGCAGTGCTTTAAAGAAAGACATATATCTTCCTTTGAGTGTTTGGGATCAATTTCTTGAACATAAAAAACAATAATGTCTCGTGGTATAGGATCAAACGATATCACGGAAAAAAAGTTAATAACATTTGCTAATATTGAGGATTCTTCAGCATTTTCTCTGACAGCTAAAAGTGAAGCTTGTAACATACTTCTAGGATATACCGAGTTAAATCTAACAAAAATGGCGTCCATGCTTTCTTCTTCCTCTGAAGATATTTTCTTTAAATATTGACTCCAAGTAAATGAGCAGTTTGCTTTGTTTACACGACTGACATAATAACCAGCAGCAGCCAAAGCCAGCGGTTGACGATCCAATGCGTGCGATACTTCATTCAACAATTGGTCATCAGCATGTTCAATAGTGTAATGCTTCAACAGTTGAAAACATTCCGTATCATTCATTCCACTTCTGATAGCAATATGTTTGTTAAGCCCATCGTCTTGAGGTACGGCATCTGTGTTCTGGATAGTTACTACGATTTGTCCATTTATCCACATGGCATCACCTACTTGGGGCAGTAACAAAGAAATTTTGCTGAGCAGTTCCACGTTGTCTACAATGATCAACCAATTTTGCCAGAATTTTAATCGTGTGGATACTAACGATCGCAAATTCTTCACTTTGTCTGTGATGGAACAGTTTTCGTCTTCAAATTTTTTAATCATATACTTGTCACAGTTTAAACGGTATCCAAGTTCACAATAAGTTTTTAAAAGAGATTCCTCATTTTTTCCATCGAGGGTCATTACAAACGAAGTTCTATTTTTCCAATCACACGATAATTTTTCACAAACCTGTATTGCAAGTTGAGATTTACCACAGCCAGGATTACCAGTGATGTAAAAATATGTCAGTTTATCATTGTTATCATTCCTTAATTTTTCAAGATCTTTATAATTTTATCACGAAATTCAGTGCGTTCAACGAAAAAATGATTAGGTTTTGAAGGAAGAACTTGGAATGAATTTAAAAAGTTTCGATGATTTTTTATTTCAATAATTTCATCGAGAGAAAATTTCAAATCTTGAAATGATTTTTCAATGATATTGACTATATCATCAAAATCATCATCTGAGCATTCCCTGTCATACCAATGTGCGTACTTGTTTCTTTCACAACGAAAAGCATGAACAGCATCCTTTGTTTTTTTGTCAAGATGCTTTCCAATTGAATTTGAAAAAATTATTGCATCAAATAATATCGTACAGTCCCACTTACTGGTGTCTCCATCCTGATATTTTAACTCTAGTTTTTTATCCAACTTTCTACCCGATTCTAAAGTGCAAAATTTTTTACCACTATTTTTGGTATCATCCCATTCTCCTTGTGTTGATTTGTAACGAGAGTTCCATTCTTTGATGAAAAATTGAGCAAGTTCCGTTTGTACCACATTGATTATTTGCTGAATGTAAGACATATTTCTTGTTCCTCTTGATTCCATTAGTACAAAAATTCAACATGATATATCAATGATGACTATAATCAAGAAATTCCAAAAATTAAATATACAACATATGACATTTGAAATATACTTGTTTTGCAATAATGTGTAACAAATGACACATTGTCTTGATAGCACAATTGTGTTTTCCATTAGCTATGAAGATTGACCTGTAGTGGCAAAAATTCTTAAAAACCATGAATTGTTTACTAAGACTTGTCAATTTAAGATAAATAATCAAATTTAAGCTAAGATAAACGATTAACTATATAATTAATAAATTGTAAGTGAAAAAAATTTTACTTTGCATTAATAAAACAATGCGTTTCGCTTGGTGGATCTTTAACGTGAAATGTAAATAAGCTCAGAAAAACTAAGATAGTAAGCTATCCCGATTATATGCTACTTAGAGAAAAACAAGATACAGAGCTTCTAGCCGTCTTGGTAAGAGAGGAAAGATTGGTTGTGTGCTATTGTCAACGGACAGCAGTTTTTTACCGACCCTACATTCAGTTTTATCTAAATCAAAACTTAGACAAACATTGGTTATGTAAATACATGCATCATTTGTTGGACGGTTTGCAGGAACGTAAAAACTTAAAGTGCTTTTTTTCAAAAGTACAATATGTTGAACACGATGGATATGGATTAAAACAAATGTGTAAAAATTATTTTTTTAAAACAATAAGAGTGGCCATGAAGCGACATAATGAGAAAGAAAGCCAGAAAAGAGAAGAAAGTAATTTTGATGTTGTCTTGTCTACAAAAAAGCGGGCATTTAAAGGACATAATGAATCCAAGTCTTGCTCAAATCAAAACAACTATTGAAAGTTTTCAAAACCGTTAGGTAAATTTTATTCTGTTTTTAGCGATTCCTTGTATGCCAGACTACTTGAGTAAGAACGTGGTGATGCAGATGATGTTTTCAATAATGTATCAGGTGATGTGCTGAATATTTAGTTTAGATTGTCTATATTAACGTAGTTATTCAAGGTAAGATTGATGGGAAATCAGGGATTACCGTTTTATTTTTGTTTAATGAGATAAAACTTTGCACGTGACTTAAATGATGTCACACATGAAAGGTCCGTCTTATTATTTTAACTGGTCATGGACTAGGAGACTTGAATGCGTGTCTGGAGCGTTGTTATATGTATATTGAAGAGTATATTTTTAAAATAAGTCGTTAAATTATCTTAAGATTAAGTATGGCCTTGCTGACGGATCTTTCATGTTAAATACCGAAGTTAAAAAGAAAAAATAATAGAAATTGGGCACTTAATACATGTTTGTATCTGAAAAGTATTAATTTGTTTGATCATGCCGATGGATCAGATGAAATCCTACCAGAAGACGCGTCTCATCTTGTGAAGCGAGCGTTTGGAATTGCTTCGTAGAAAGGATTACGTACATTTGTTTGGGAGTCAAAACGATCAGAAAACCCATGTAAGGAATACACATACAGCGAAAGAGACATGGGATATTTTAAGAAATCAGTTTTCCACAATTTCTATTTCAAAGATTGACTTACTGCGACAAGAATATAATTCTTGAAGGTTAAAAAGTGGTGAAAACATACTCGATCATCTCAACAAATAAGAATCTCATCACGACCAACTAAAAGAAATGAGAATTCGAAAATAATGATCAAAAACTAGCAAAGACCTTGCTTGCAGATTTGCCGGGAGACTAAAAGCCGCTGATTATAGCTTTAGATGCGATTGAAGAAAAATCTTATCAAAACGTTAAAGGAATGTTAACGAATGATGCAGATCTAACACTAAATACCAGAAAAGATGAAAAGGCTCACGCTGCTCACTGATCATTTAGGGTGAAAGGAGAAAAAAATACAGCAAAAACAAAAATGAACACCAGCATTCTTATAAATGAATATGCCACTCATGAAGACATTTTACACGATTTTTTCTACAAAGAAATAACAATTTAATCTGTTATTTTCACTACGAAGGAAAAAAGTCAGCACATTGTGCCAAAAAAGATGATCAAGAAAATATTGATTAGGTGGCGTTTATCACAAATAAAAAAGAATAGATTTGATTGGATAATTGATTCTGGTGCCACTTAGCATATGACGTTTGAACATGACTATTTATCGGACTATGAAGAGTTGAGAAAGCCAACAAAAGTAATTCATGGGGATGAAAGTTTAATATTAGTTTATGGCAGGGGTCTTCAAACTACGGCCCGTTGGGCCTCTCAATCCGGCCCGCAGAGACACTTAAGGAAAAAAATAATAATATTATTAAATACCTTATACCTTAATTAAACAAAATAACCTTTGTGCAGAAATTTCATGTCATGACGCAAGCCAACTTGCAAGAGTGGCTTACGTCAATTTTTGTCCCAACTTCCTACTTCCGTTTCAAGCACATTGCGAAATTTAAAAAGCTGAAGGATAACGTGGAAATTTTTTATATTTCAATGCTTCATAATGAAAGTTCATGTGGCCCTCTAGTTATAAAGTTTGGAGACCCCTGGTTTATGGGAAAGGAACTTATCGCGTGGCCATTGATTTGTATAAGTCACATCAACGTAGCGTAATCTGGGGCAAAGTTCTGTTGGGTTAACAGGTATTTTGAATAATTTTGTTTAACATAGGGGAGGATCAGTTGCATGCTAGCAGCGCTCCAGGGAGGGGGGGGCAGTCACTACCACTGAAAACGAGCCTTAAATATATACTCTTTAAATACGGGGCCCAAAGCCTGAGCCGAGAAAGGTGCGAGTCATGTTTGGGGATTCTTGGGGTAAGTTCTCTCAGGAAAAATTCTTTATTAGGAAGCTCTAAAATGCCTTCCAGCACACCACTGAGAGGATGTTGGTAATTTCTCCACAGTTTTATAGTTTGGATGTTGTTGCTTGAACTGGAACATCGTTTTATTGAAAAATGCCTTTGACAACATTTATATTTAAGATTTTAAATACCGTACTACCTTGGAGAAAGTGAGACTGTCGCCATATTGAGTAATGATCATAAGATATTATGTGTCTAGCATACCTTAATTTGTGTTTTTTCGTGTATGTTGTAAATTTGAAGCGACTATAAGGCCAATGGAAAATATTTCCTCAAATAGGTTTAATTCTTTGCTTCGATATTGACTGCACCATAATAGAATATATATTTGAAATCTAATTGTTGGATCTAATGTAAACAAGACATTTTAAATGAACGACGAGTTTTTTTACTGTAAACATGTTTCGGCATGCTTATGCCATCTTCAGTACATAAAATGAAGGTGATTATGCTATTTACATGATATATATATATGTGTGTACATAAAAGATAAAAGTTTCTCCGGATTTTGAATGATTTTTATTGAGCTTTCGACTCGATGATTTTGAGCTATCCGGAGAAACTTTTATCTTTTATGTATTCAATGCCTGGATTACAAATTTTCAAACTTATATATATGTGTATGTGACTATCGTTAAGTGTATTAAATTACATAAGAGTGTGTTTATCTTTTTCGTAATAGTCTTAGCCAAAGCTTTTTCTAGAATGTACCAGTCGACTGTATTTAGTATTGCTTTGAGTTTCGATGATATCTTGTCCATATCATTCTCAAGTTTCCTCTTTTCTTTTGACCGTTTTAATATAGCAGAGCGAAGCAATCGCTTACGAATCGCGTGGACATCCTGAGCATTGACATTTGGAAGAGGGAAACAAATAAATTTCGGAAAAACTTCGAATGACTGACAATCCCACAAGAAATTCACATCGAGATCGGCTTTGCGTTTCTTCGTTGATAGCTTCTCAAGTGATCGAAAGTCGGACAGGGAAACCTTCCCTTTGTATTTATGTGGCAAGTCGTGTATGATATTTCCATAATTTCTTAATTTCCATATGATATTTCGATAATTCGTGTATGAATTATCCATATGATATTTCGATATTTCGTGTATGATATTTCCATAATTTCGGCATAAGCATGCCGAAACATGTTTACGATAAAAAAACTCGTCGTTCATTTAAAATGTCTGATATCCATCGTGCTTTTAAGAACTTATGGTAATGTAAATAAGTAATTGATAATTTAAAGGTGGATTTCAAAATAGCAAATACCATGGTGAATGGTGATAATAACAATGTAATAGTTCTTAAAAGAACTGTTTTAACCAGAACACTAACCCAACAATTCAAAGGAACCGTTATTTACAGCTAGAAAGAGACACTATGCATTTCGGCAGACTACTCGTCAGGTGTCAACGTCTGCTAAATGAGAACCTCCAAA